AAATAGTCAAACCCATTTAACTTCCTGTCAGTGAACTCTGAAGTAGACTGTATCACATGTAGCTTACTAATTTAAAGTATACATACAACAACATTTTCTGTATTTTGTTATTTAAAAAGTAAAACAAATACTCACTGAGTTAATGTGTGTGTGGAAGCAAAACTCGTCATAGTGAACATGCAGGCCTGAGGTAACATGGATAACATAGGACAGAGGAAACCGGAAAAATCCTTAAAACCAATTTGGTCTTGGTATAAAGGCTTCTGGATTTGAGGGTCTACACCTGTACTACATTCTCCTGAACTACGGTATAAACAGCACTATATGTCACTTGGTAGAAAATACTACAATTGTACTTTATACCTAAATCTGTACTTGTACTGATACATTACTTCTAAATATAATCTGTAATCTGAATCTGAACCTGCATCACTGGAAAGGCATTTAAAGTTAACCATGAGATACAAAGGAATTCAATAAGAGCATTGATAAATTAATGCTGGAATTGGTAACTGGATACATCAGTAAACAATAATAAAGCTTTGATGTTGGTACAGTACAGTATTGGTGATGATACAAACAGTCAATAAATAAAAGGTGAAGATTACAAAGGAAGATCATACATTGTCATTCTAAAATCTTTACCTCTTACCATAATACTACACACAATGTTTATAAACAGGAAATTAACAAGTGGTAACTAGTGTTATTGTCCTTAAACTGTGTTGCCAGACAGCAAAACTGCCTGTACAGTACATTATCACTAAGAAAAACAGAAATTACAATATCCACATACTTACTATGCTTTTTAACATTTTAAGTAAGTTTAATGTTTGGCAATCTGATATATTTTATTGAGTATTTGAGCAAGGATGAAGTAGAAAACAAAGTCAATTAAATTAACATTAAATGCAAATTTTAATAAAATACTATAACTAATAGATTAAAACTTGGCACAATGAATAACTGATGTGTCAGAGGAGAGAAGTACAGTACTATAAGATATTTTAATTTACAGTACAGTGACCCCTCGTTTAACGAACACCTCGGTTAACGTAATTTCGATTAACGAACTGCCTTCCATAAGGATCTTCAATTCGGTTAACGAAAAAAAATTCGCTTAACGAACTTCTTACGAACCGACCTCAACATGTTTTCGCTTGCACTGACAGGGCAACCAGCTTTAGTATCAGTCCGCCAATACATTAATCGGTTCTAGGGCTTAAATTCCTTACTATTTTTGTAAATATCAAGAAGTTTATACTATTCAATAATTTTAAAAGTTTAATATTCAATTTTTTAGTCATTTTAACAATTATTGAACAAAATTGAAGGTAAAGTGACTAGTTTAATGCGCGGCATCCAGCCTCTTAACACAGCAAACAGGCGTCAGTCTCTCTCTGTTTTCACTGGAGGTAACATCTTGCTTGAGACTCTCTTCAACTAAACGCTTTTTTTCTGTGTTTCCAAGCAAATTATTGGTCATTTTGAAATATATTTTATATATTGACAATATATAATGCAGTGCAGCGTTGATTTAAAGAAAATAATCTTGAATTAAACCAGAGAGCTAAAATTTTATGGGTGAAATGGCACCATGGGGTGACTTCTCTTCCACCCCAATGCCTTCTCTTCTTCCTTCTCCTCCACCCCCATTCTAAATCCCATCATCATCATCATCATCCAGGAGCCTTCTACATACACACCTTAAAGTAAGTGAACTTTTCTACCATTTTTGTTGAATTTAGGAAATTTTCGGTGAGCTGGAACCAATTACCCAAAACCCATTGAAACAATGGTTTCAGTTATCTAACGCCGTTAATAACCACCTTCTGAACCGATTGAGTTCGTTAACCGAGGGCCACTTATATCCATAATCTTACTAAGAAATATAAATTACACAAACAACCAAGAAAAAATAATACAGTACAGTACAAGAGATTCAGCATGAGACTCTCAGTTATAAGAGGCCTACATCATGTACCGTATGTAAGGTGACAAAATACACAAGTGACAAGAATATACCCCCATGACTAGCATAATACAATAGTGGAAATTATCAGTAAACATAATTCAGAGATTTTTGTTTCATTTGGATTTGGTTACTCATTACACTTACCCGTTCTCAATGTGCACCCAAACAGGCATTAAATAAGTCTAATGGAAAAGTATTTTAAGAAATTCCCCCAGACACTAAAACTGAGTACAGGCAGTACTCACTTAAAAGTCACGGTTAAGTTCCTGAAAACTGCAACGCAAATTAAAATGACACAACTGTATGGTCTAATAATGTAGGGTAAGTAAAGGTTATGATAGAAGGGTTGTTTTCAGGTTTTGGGGCGATTGATTTCTAGTCCTTTTTTCTCATTTAAATGCTAGTGTCTTCCATAAACGAAACAAGTCCTTTATTTAATTAAGTTAATACTGTACAGGTAGTCTTCATCAACAGCCACCACCAGTTACACTTCTTTTTACTAATCTAATAGCATCAAAACAATAAGCCTGTAATAAGTGTAAGAATACTGTATATGAAAGATTGACCCAAGTTGTGGTAATTGATTCACTGAGAAATATGGGCATATTCCCTCTGTCAAGGTCACTTGTCCACTGTTGTTCCTTCACCAAGCTCATCTTGTTTAACAGTGTTTAACGTTACCTTTATCAGTATGGAGTTTTATCCTTGGTGAAGCACAGGTGAGTATTTTCTTTTTTTGTCAACAATGTAAAAATGATCGGGGTGACTTTAAGTGAGGACTGCCTGTAAATTCTTTTATCACATGCTTGGCTCTTTTACACACATCACTACACTTCTGTTGGAGGATCATCAATCATTGTGAGACCTTCCCCTATGACACTGCATCACAGATAGAATGAACATGAACAGCTCTTTTCTGTAGTAATTGTTATTTTATCCTAATTTCCACAAATTTGTGAAAATATGATCCAGCCATTTATCATTATCACTTCTTATAGTTTTTCTTCTAAACTAAATGAGAAGATTTCCATTATTTTCTACTGAGCTGGACCTCCATATAAAATTTACAATAAAAATATATAGTAACACCTTTGATCACACACACACACACACACACACACACACACACACACACACACACACACACACACACACACACACACACACACACACACACACACACACACACACACACACACACACACACACACACACACACACACACACACACACACACACACACACACACACACACACACACACACACACACACACACACACACACACACACACACACACACACACACACACACACACACACACACACACACACACACACACACACACACACACACACACACACACACACACACACACACACACACACACACACACACACACACACACACACACACACACACACACACACACACACACACACACACACACACACACACACACACACACACACACACACACACACACACACACACACACACACACACACACACACACACACACACACACACACACACACACACACACACACACACACACACACACACACACACACACACACACACACACACACACACACACACACACACACACACACACACACACACACACACACACACACACACACACACACACACACACACACACACACACACACACACACACACACACACACACACACACACACACACACACACACACACACACACACACACACACACACACACACACACACACACACACACACACACACACACACACACACACACACACACACACACACACACACACACACACACACACACACACACACACACACACACACACACACACACACACACACACACACACACACACACACACACACACACACACACACACACACACACACACACACACACACACACACACACACACACACACACACACACACACACACACACACACACACACACACACACACACACACACACACACACACACACACACACACACACACACACACACACACACACACACACACACACACACACACACACACACACACACACACACACACACACACACACACACACACACACACACACACACACACACACACACACACACACACACACACACACACACACACACACACACACACACACACACACACACACACACACACACACACACACACACACACACACACACACACACACACACACACACACACACACACACACACACACACACACACACACACACACACACACACACACACACACACACACACACACACACACACACACACACACACAGAGAGAGAGAGAATAATGCTAATTTGATACAAAATTCCTAGTACATAACAGATTTGACATTTCAAATATCACATAGGCATCTGCAGAAACAGTGACATGTCCAAACTCTCGATACACAACGTGAGAATCATTAAATACTGAACAACAAGCAAATGCATCTTAATGGTAAAAATATAAATAAATTACCAACTTCACCTAAAAATGCCGAACAAAAATAAATATTGTGCCTTAACCTCAAACTATCAATTCCTTCTTCTTATTACTATACTATTGTACAGTATTATAATCTGTCATATAATTCCTTCAGAACCATTATAAACATGGGCCTAAACCCTGGTTTTATCTTGTCAAGTAATCATCATGTTACAGAATGGACACAAATTTTTGGTTTCAAACAACAAAGCATTGCAGTAGAGAAATTTCATTACAACTACTAAGCAGGTAAAAAAAATATATATCAATAAATTACTACAAATTATGACCCAAAGATGATGGAGATTAATAAATTATTCCTCCCTCAAGTTTCAACCCCTAATACTGTACAGTACTAAGACTGGTTCAAACTACAGTACTTAATTATAGTGTATTTTATCCCAGCTGAGAAGAGATGGCCCACCCCCTCCTCAAAAGTTACAGCTGATTGGCTGTTGCAAATCTGTCCAATTTCATTTTGAAGTAATGATGTATTTCTTAATGAGTTTATTCATAATCGTTGGGATGACCGTTTCTGACGAGAAAGATACGTATTTAGCTAAATTATATACATTCATTAATTCAAACATTGTGCAAAAACTAACATTTTAAAAGATCAGAATCACATTGAAATATTGCACGGCCCCTGAAAGTTGGTGGATGAGTGTGACAGACTGAGGGGGGGAGAGAAGCTTGGCAGCTCGAGCCGTCAGCAGAGGCGGGAAATATGAAGTTGTTCGCAATCTTATTTCCCACTTCTGCTGATGGCCACGTAATATTTCAATGTGATTCTGATCTTTTAAAATGTTAGTTTTTCATAATGTAGTATTACTGATAGGTAATTTGTCTTAGTATGCCTCATTGTGGGTAAAAATAAATACAGTATATATTAAATGCGTCCTCAGAAAGCGTGAATTTGTGACCACAGTTTAATAGTTAATTCATGCATAAGATTTCTGATAAACTTCCCATGTACTCATGATTGAAATAATGACTGTATGTATCTTTATAGAATTTAGCTAAATATCTTTCTCGTCAGAAACGGTCATCCCAACGATTATGAATAAACTCATTAAGAAATACATCATTACTTCAAAACGAAATCGGACAGATTTGCAACAGCCAATCAGCTGTAACTCTTGAGGAGGGGGCGGGGCATCTATTCTCAGCTGGGAAAAAACACAAAATACAATCATCCCCTTGCAATAAACTAAAGGAAGGCACAATATCGTTTCACAGTTCTGAGAAACTTTTAAATGCAAGCATGAGTGTTCCTACTACAGACAATTATCTCCAGTATATATTCTATTCATTATCTCAATTATTGACTATTTAATTATTAGTGTTACCAGGTTGTACTCTTAAAAAAGTTGATAGAAACAGATATTACTTATGCCATAATTGTTGCATTTTTAACAAGTAGTCATGTACAGTATTAATTAAATTAATAATATTTGTGAACCATGAAGACAAATTTGGCTCTAATTGTGACCATGATAAGTGCTATTAATGAGATGTCTTTACATTTAAAATTACCTATATAAGTATTGCTGCCTATATGATTGATATGCAGATGTCAATTATAAGATACATAATACCATATATGATCAATAATGTATCAAACGTCCTGTACAGTATGAGTATATATTACTCTTTGTGCTTAAATACATTGATTAAAAACACATGCAGAGCACTGACTTATCAGAAAGTGCTACCTCATAAAAATAATTAATTATGATGCATTGCCACCACAAACAAAAACTGTGGCTTCCAGATATCAAAGACAAAATAGTTTAGAGTTCAGTAAAAAAAATTCATAGCTATACAGTACAATACTAACTTAAGTCATAAATATGACTACATCTGAAAGCAGCAATTGTTAAACCATTCTCTACTTTTTTCAGTGATGGAATTACCATATAAAATGTCCTTGTCACTTGTATTATAATATAAATGAAGCCTTAGTTTTATGAAAGGCAGACAGAACTTACCAACTCCACCCCTACCTTCAACAGAGGATCAATTGAAAAGTGGAAGGTTGTAAAAATCATAGCCACGTCTACCCCATACTGCGAGTAAGACATAAACTACGTGGTAGGCGCCAGGGATGAAGCATATGAGGCCAGCAATGATGAAAACTGGACCAGAGAGACTCTCAAGTGGGACTGCTTCTACAACAATACCAGTAATGAGCAAAACTGCAAAGAAAAATAATCTAATAAACAGGAATAAAAAATGAAAGATTGAGCCACACAAACAGTATACAGTGCAATATCTTTTAAATATGGTACTCAGCTCAACCTCTCAAGTACTACAGTAGTTATAATATTTTCATGATGTACTGAGAACCTACCAAACTACCATATAAATGTAATGTACCAGCTGTTTAGTTTCTCCCTTAAAATATATACAGTACATGTACAGTAATTATATGAGTTCATCTGTTTCATCAACTCTGATGCCTGGATAATGTACTGTGTACACTGCCCCCCTTGCTTAACACAGGGTTGTTCAACACGGATTCACTCGAACGCATTTTTTTATTACTACCACGATTCACACGCCACGGGACTAAAATTTGCCTTAACGTGGGTTGAGCCGAGCTAACACAGGGAAAATTCAGCCAAAAACAGTCAGGTAGTAATGTTTTGTGCGGGACAGCGGTCGAGCCCATTACGGTCCACAGGTAGCATCCCTAGCATGCCAGTGGTCAAGGCCATTACAGTCCACAGATAGCATAGTAAACCTTACCCCTTACAGGGTTTTAGGCCAAAAACATTTTTCTCTCAGAATCTTTATTTAATGTGTCTAATGTGTAAGTACATCTAGAATAACGTGGAAACTCCAAAAAGTGACCTTGAAAAACCATAGGCAGCAAGTAATTAGCATTAGAAAAGTAATTAAACATTTTTAGATGTCATTTGGACAAGTAATTATACAGATATGCATATTCCCTTAGGACAATTATTTCTTTTACTTGTAGTGTGCGTGCGTGCGAGCGTGCGTGTGTGTGTGTGTGTGTACACACACAAAACACATACAAATAAATGATAATGGGAAAATCCTCTCACAAATAATCAAAAACAAATTTATTAAAAATATGACAGTCTACCCTCAAGTCTACTCCGTGCTTTAAAACTACCTGCAGACATTCTTGGGTACATCCAGGGTGTCATCCACAAAATAAAAATCCGCGAATTATCCGGGCGTACTGTATGCTATCAATCATAAACATTACATTCAGAATGAGTTTGCAAATATTTATACACTTTTTTATCTCAAAAAAATCACAGTGCAAAGGCCAAATTTGAAAACTATAAATGAAAGTTTTAAAGAATTCATTTAAGTACAGTCGGAGAGAGAGAGAGAGAGAGATGGGTAGTAGCAACTTGGCTCCCCTGGACCCATATAATACATGATCTGAGCATATTAGAATCAGAGGGTCAGAGCACAACCATAAACAGAGGCAGTCACCAGATTTCTGAGCAGTGGCAACTTGGCTCCCTTATAATCAGGATCTGAAATGTGTGCAGCCCTGTAAGAAAGCTTATTATCACCACTTTTTCCAGTGTATAATAGTTCACATTCCTATAATTTATTCATCTTAATCTATTTCATAATATATTCCTATAATAATAATCAACTTTTCGGAAACGTTCGGTTATTTCAGATTAATTCCGAATTAAAATTGATTAATTCTTTTTTTTTTAAATACAGGTATATGAAATATGCCAAAATCCAAATTATAACAATCCAAATTAACGAGGGTACAGTATATTTATTATTTAATGCTTATTTGTCATGTTCAAGTTAGACACTCTTACAACTAGAGAAAAGTCAGTCCAACCACTCTGTCAGAATGGTTTCTCCGTGAATCAGTCAATCAAGAGGAATACTGTGAAGATTAATCACATAATTTCAGGTAGATAAACATAACTTTTGGCATTTTTTTTATTCAGTAACTGTACTGTACATGCAAACAGAATCCTACATACAGAATGTGCAAAGCAAATCAAAATCATTGAGGTCTAAAAAAGAAAATGAATGTTAAAATTTCTTCGTTATGGTTATTTTATGGTTACTATTTTTAAACTCGTAATTTTGGGTAGATAAACATTACTTTCTTCATATTTTCATTTATTCAGTTACATGTACTGTCCGTGCAATCCTACACAGAGAATGTAAATATTTCCTCGTGCGCCACCGAGATTAACCGCAAGTTATGTTATGGTTGTTTTTCAACTCGTAATTTCAAGTTGATAAACTTAACTTTTTTCATATTTAATTCATACAGTTACATGCACGCATAATCCAACATACAGAATGAGCAAAAAAATGCAAAAAAATAATCATCATTAGGTCAAAACATTAAATGATTAAACATTGCTTTATGTGCCAGCAGGAAGTGGAGCATTGCTATGGGAAGTCCCCAGGTGGACTAGGCTGATACACTGAGCTTTGACTCAGCATGACTCAGTCAGTGTCTGCAAATTGCTGTGGTGTTAAACATTCTGGAAATTATTACATGGATAATGCCAGTGCCTCCACCTCCATAACATCCGGTTTAGTGAATATGGTAGATGTACTGTAGGTGTATTAGTGCGCTACTTTACAGCTCTACGATGTCTTTGAACTTTGGTTTTGGAGTGTTTTTGGCGTAAGGGGGAAGGACTCTTTGGGGTCCACCTGATGCATCCCCTCTCTCCCCGTTACAATGGGTTTGCTCTACACGGCATTTTCTGGGAACGCAATCTCCGTGTTATGTGAGGGGGCAGTGTGGGTGGGTGGGTGGGTGTGTGGTATCTTACAGTATATAACAACACATTCTCCAACAATTACACATACTGTATATAACTTGCCTACAAAGAAAAGACCATTCCTCAAACTAACTTATTCCCATAATGAGAAGGGTGAAGGCTCCAGCCACTATTCTCCACTTTTCGCGGACTTTTGGATGAAGAAACCACCATCGTGGAGACTCTGAGAAGCTGCTGCTGCTGTCACCAGGTATGAGTGAGTCACTATCTCGAGATATTGCCTGTAAGGGATAGGCAAAAAGTTTTATGCATACTGTATTATCTTCAGTGACTTACGATCTTTGTGTCTAGGTAAACTATTTATCTTGTTAAGACTTATTTACTGTACATATGAGTCCCACTGCCAAACAGACTGAAAATTATTTTCACACTACTGTACAAGGAAATCAAAGATGCCTGGATAAAATACTTCAATTGACTACAGAATGAGGAGTACAAATGGGACAGGGGCACCCTAGGAGCTGCCTGCAGATGCAGTAAAGGAACCATGCCCAAGGAATAAAAAAGAATGGGTGAAGAAAGTGACTGATATAAAGAAGAATAGAAAAGTGGCTGTAAGCTCTAGAATAGTTGCAGAAATGCTGAGAGCATCAGAGAGAGTTGATGGTGACTGAATTTTCTAATGCAATCCTGGTGGAATGTACAGTTCCACTTTCTTAAACATAAATGTAGGAAGCTCACTCAGGAAAAGTTCCATATAAAAATACCTTTTCATACACATGGGACATTCTAAATTTCAGTGATGAAAATAATGTTAGTTTGGTTAATACTGGAAGACAATACAGTAGTACAAATATTGCTACATTATATGATTTATTATTAAAGTACTGTAATAGAGCACGGACTTGAGGGTAGACTGTCACATTTTTAATAAATTTGTTTCTGATTATTTGTGAGAGGATTTTCCAATTACTGGGGTATTATTTATTTGTATGTGTTTTGTGTGTGTGTGTGTCTACACATACACAATACTACAGGTTAAAGAAATAATTGTCCTAAGGGCAAACACATAAAAGAAATATATATTTCTTCGTACAGTACACAAGTAAAAATGTACCCCCGCTCCGCAAATGTTATTCGCGGATTTGGCGATTCACGGCCATTTTGAGAACCTAATCCCCAAGGAAATTCTTTTTGGCCAAAAAACATAATACAGTACAAGCACATACTGTATATGAATGAATATAAACAGTTTTAAATACATACAATGATTCATTCATGATGCAACATAACAATAAATGCACACAATTTAATTTAACTCACCAGAAATGATGTTGAGTGCAGCATGAGGCCGTGAGGTTGTGTGATCAGAGTTATTGAAAGTTACCTCCTTAAAACATCAAGTTTAATGTCCAACGTACCTCCTTTATGGGTTAGTTTAACACCAGTGCTTTCATTTGAACTTGATGGCCGTTTTCCACTACAGAATAAATGTGATTAGGTTAGGTTAGGGATTCTCAACTTAATAGTCACTTGGTAAAACATAAGGCCATATTTCAGGATGGATGAAAATGTCCTTTTTCTTGTATAACTTTGCCCTTCTCTTGAATAGGGCTAACAAGAGCACTGCAGTGTTTAAAGGACAGCGATACACTTCGTTCACGGCTTTTCACATTTCCCGCGTCTTCTCACTCCGTGTTGTTGTGTCAGCTGACTCACTGTACGCCATCCATCAGCCATCCCAGTGTGGCTAACACCCTGTGAAATATAACCTTCAAAACAAACCTCATAAACATCAGAGAATAATCATTTTTACATCCCATAGATATCCTCTTAAAAGTTATATGTTTGTTTGGTCATAAGATGAGATTTCTTTTTTTAGAAGTGGTTACATTTTTTGGGTGTTAGAAAGAAATATTATCAGGGTACTCAATGCCTGGGTTGCAGTAACAGTGGGGCCATCCAGACAATTTGAAAATGTTGGTAGCCCTGTCCCATTCATCGGGATCTCGACTCAACATATTGCCCGAAGCACGTTCTTGAGTGACCTCACCCCACACTCACGTATGGTGCCCGATGAAAAGACTCACCATCGGCCCATGGTCCAGTTGTCGGTTAGGTTAGGTTTTTTCAGACTAATACCAGGAGGAGTTGATAGAACTGGAAAAAAACTTAGTGGAAACATTATTTACAATCTCTTATATAGATAAATTAAAATGAGAATGCAGATAACCTAATAGAACTTGACCTAACCAGTCTAACCTAAAGTAACCTACCTAACCCTACCACATATAACAGAAAAATCATTTAAAACATACCTAACAACACTGAATGTATTCTTGTGTCCATTTATCTATTAAATAGATTGTAACTAACGTTTCTACAAAGTTTTGTCCAATTCTATCAATTCCGTCTGGTTTCAGTTAAAAAAAAAAATACCTAACCAGCAATTGGATAAATATCTACAGCATAAAGTTCAAAAGCACCTCAGAGAACATTACAGTACTCAGTCAAGTGTCCATTCCTGGAACTAGTGAATGCCAGCCTAACTAGAGGTCACAGCCTCAGGGTGAAGAAACCACAAGATCAGAAAATGGTAATCTTGGAGCACTGTTCATTTTTTCCACAGATGTTCTTATCATTACAGTAAGTATTTTAAAAGAAGCAACATTTACTAGAACCCAATAGAACTTAAACTAACCAACCAAAGGAACCTACCTAACCTCACCTAACTTCCTAGCCAGAGGGCTCCACCCCCTGAACCCCCTGCCATATTGAACAGAATGTACTGTACTTATTTTAATATATCGTACCAATGAACGCAACTTTCTCGGAGCTGCATGGCGTAATTTTACATTTTTTGTGGACGTGAGAGCACGCTTGAACCAAAAGGGTCAGTTGTTGCATGGAAACAAACAAAGAGCAGATGACAACACGTGCCAACAACGGCAGATTTGGGAGGCTAAAATTGTCGTTTCAGTCATGCACCTATTTGGAAGCAGGTCAGAATCATTCAAAACACATCAAAAACCATTGGAAAAACTAAATTTCAACCTTACCTAACCCAACCTAACTTAACCTAAACTTAAAATCCTAAAATTTGCTGCATGACCGAAACGATAGTAATACCATTTTTGGAGGAATATTTGGGGTAAATAATTTCTTTGTGTACAAAGGACACAGAAACATCATTTTAGTGTCATATGATCAGTTTTTCAGTGTTTTACCCAGCTATTTCCCTCATCCTTTATGTCTACCCATTACAGGTGATTTATGATGGTAGATACAGAAAGCTAAAAAAATATATATACAGTAAGTCCTCGTATCATGGCGGCCCACTTAACGTTGTTTCGGTACTATGTCGCTAATCTTTAGATGCCCAAAACTCGTTTAATGATCCGGTGACTCAGTACAACGTCGTTTTGCGTCGTCACAGACTACTTTTTACGGCACACAGCCTCTCTTGGCGTGCTACCTCTCATTCACGGAACGTCACAGTTTCCCCAAGCGACGGCAAGCCAGTCTCTGTTAGACTTCCACAGCGTTCATGCGTAACTCCCGGATTTTATCTATTTCTTATGGGGAAAATTGATCCGCTTCACGTTGTCTCGCTTAACGTCGCATTTTCAGGAACGTAACTCCGACGTAAAGCGAGGACTTACTGTGTGTGTGTGTGTGCGTATATATATATATATATATATATATATATATATATATATATATATATATATATATATATATATATATATATATATATATATATATATATATATATATATATATATATATATATAATTAAAATAAAAAGTTCTCGAATTGCTTTTATTACTTTCTAACATCCAAAGAACAAGTGGAAAAATTAACGAAACTGAACAACTCCTGGTGTTAGCAGTCTGCTCCAGTAATACCCAGAAAAGTGTCAGAGTAAACTTTTAAGAGTGAGAGCTAAGATGTGTTGACGACACCAAGTATGAGCTCAAATAATTTAAGACCAGACATGACTAACACTAGTGCAGGTTCAGTAAATATTCTGGAGCCAGTACATGCCCAGGGGTCCGACTAATTACCCAAATGTAGCCGCAATGAAGTCAAATGATGGTCCTACAAGAATAAATCGGACTGCCAATCACTTCTCGACTGGTATTTGGTGTCACGAAGTAAAAAAAATTGGTAAACTTAATTTAATCTGAGTTAATAGATCGAGTGCATGTACCTAACCTAACCTAACCTCGACTAGTATTTGGTGTCATGAAGTAAAAAAAATTGGTAAACTTAATTTAATCTGAGTTAATAGATCGAGTGCGTGTACCTAACCTAACCTAACCTCGACTGGTATTTGGTGTCACGAAGTAAAAAAAATTGGTAAACTTAATTTAATCTGAGTTAATAGATCGAGTGCATGTACCTAACCTAACCTAACCTCGACTAGTATTTGGTGTCATGAAGTAAAAAAAATTGGTAAACTTAATTTAATCTGAGTTAATAGATCGAGTGCGTGTACCTAACCTAACCTAACACAACTCAGATTAAATTAAGTTTACCAATTTTTTTGTGACTTTATGACACCAAATACTAGTCGAGAAGTGATTGGCAGTCCGATTTATTCATGTAGGACCATTATTTGACTTAATTGCGGCTACATTTGGGTAATTAGTCTTACTGCATCCTGCAACACATACAATAACTGACTGCCCAAGAGGCTGACCTGTGGTGAAGAGGATCAAGTAAAACAGACAAACTTTCTCAAGTTGTTGGTTAACATGCTCTATTATCTTCCAGTATTAACCTAGTTTTAAATATTACTTAGATATAGTTTAACTTACATCTACATCAGGTATAGTAAGGAGTCCTTTTACGCCGCTGGCCGCACCTACTCCAGCAAGAGGATCTTCAACTCTCACTGTTACATCTTCATTTCCTATACTTACATCTCGAGCTTTAGGTTTCAGTGGTGAACGTTCATTTGTGGCTCCATAAATACGTATAGCATCGTCTGCATCTTCCTCAAATGCATCTTCTATGGTAAATTTGGGCTGGTTTCTGCTTTGTTTACTAGCCATACTTAACATGGTTGTCGCCAGTGAACAGCTAACACTTCCAGCCAACTTGTTACCGTCAGATGCAATAATATTGTTAATGTAGCACTAACAAACTGATAAAATATTAAAGTGATACAGTACACATTTAATGCGTAATTATGCATAGGTTGACGTAAAATTATTTAAATGCCAAATGCCGCCAGTGACGGTCACATATGAATCACGTTGCTCGCCTGTAATGGACAACTGACCCATCAGAGCAGAGCCCACTCACGGTAAAATATCCACTGCCGATTCAATTTATTTACTTTTCTCCTTTCTTTTCTTTCTTATTTTTTATTCTTTCTATCTTCTTTATTCCTTTGTTTTTTTCTTTCATTGTTACATTTCTTTTATATACTTCTCTTCTCTAGTTATATTCTGATCTAGGGCTTACCTGGGAAACCCCTTGTTAATTTACAATTTTCAATACTCAATGGTAACTGCCACCACCCAGGTTTTTCTATCAGAACATACTTTACAATATTACATAGGGGGGTTGTTGGTGGTACTGTTGTGGGGTAAGAGATGTTTGGTTCACACTCAGGATGGAATGGAGAAAGGAAACTCACAATGTGCTCTCTATATACATGTTGTATTGGATGTACAATGCAGCTTGGTGCTGGGAAGGCAGCATGGTTACAAGCGTGATGTAGAGAGAGCTGGTTGGTGAGGATGCTCAGAGGAGGACCAGCTTGTGGGTCGCCATGCTCTCCGGCGGGAGCGAGGACCGCCAGGCAGGCGGAGGAGGAGGAGGTGTTGCTAGCTGGTTGGTGGAGGTAGAAAGAGGCAGGTCACCATGAGGTCAGGCCTTAAATAGCGGGGTTTGGCGTGGCTTAATAGTTGACCCCCGCTCCGTGATGTATGGCGGCGCTGGTGGACCTAGACCACGAGGCATGCACTGGGGAATTGGTGGGGTCGGCTACTCAGCGACAAACAGCGTTTGTAGGGGAGAAATCCACTACACTGTAGCTTACTGTATGTGGCCAGTTGTCAATTCTCTTAGTACATAAGAACATAAGAATGGAGGAAACTGCAGCGGGCCTATTGGCCCATACTGGGCAGTCCCGTTTACACCCAACCCCTATTGCTCAAGTAAGCATCCAACCTATGTTTGAAGCTATTCAGCGTATTCGAGTTAAAGGTGATATTTGGTAACTTGTTCCATTCATTCACTACTCTGTTTCCAAACCAGTGTTTACCTATTTCACGCCTAAATCTAAATTTTTCTAATTTAAAACCATTGTTACGAGTTCGCTCCTGGTTGGATAGTTTGAGTACCTTTGTAATGTCCCCTTTGTTTAGCCCTGCCTTCCACTTATACACCCCTCTCTCCTCTCAACGCCTCTCAAGGAGTGCAAATTAAGATGCTTTAACCTGTCTCTATACTCAAGGTTCCTAATGCCCGGATTAGTCTTGTCATTCTCCTCTGAATTCTTTCCAAGGATTCTATATCCATTCTGTAATACGGTGACCAGAACTGAACTGCGTAATCCAGGTGTGGTCTCACAAGAGCAAGATACAGTTTTAGGATGACCTCGCTAGACTTGTAACTAACACTCCTTTGTATGAACCCAAGTACTTTATTAGCCTTGTTACGAGCAAAAACACATTGTTTACTTGGCTTAAGGTTCCTACTTATCATTACTCCTAAATCTCTCTCGCAGTCGGATTTCTCTATGGCATCGTTGTTCATCTGGTATCTGGTTTCCCTGTTTACATCTCCTATACTGAGTACTTTACATTTGTCCACGTTGAATTTCATCTGCCATTTTTCAGACCATTCGAAAAATTTGTTTAGATCTTCCTGTAGTTTTGCCGAGTCCTCGTCAGATTTAATAACACGTCCTATTTTAGTGTCATCAGCAAATTTACTTATGTTGCTGTCTATGGCGATATCTATGTCGTTTATGTATATAATAAATAATACTGGTCCAAGTACTGAGCCTTGGGGAACTCCACTTGGGACGTTGCTCCAATGGGACTTAGTGCCATTAATGCTCACTCGCTGTTTCCTGTCCTGTAACCACGCCCTAATCCATTTAAGGATATTACCTTTGATGCCATGTGCTTCTACCTTTCTAATTAGTCTTTCGTGGGGGACTCTGTCGAAGGCTTTGCTAAAGTCGAGATATACCACATCATAATTGTGCCCCTCGTCCACCGATTCGAAAACTGATGAAAAGAATGTTAATAGATTAGTTAGACGTGAACGTCCGCTTGTGAAGCCATGCTGAGAATCATTGATCAATCTGTGCTTCTCCAGGTGATTTCGAATAGAGTTTGAAATGATTGCTTCCAGTAATTTGCCTACTATTGATGTTAGACTGATTGGGCGGTAGTTAGAGGATAGTGATCTATCCCCCTTCTTGAAAATCGGTATTACATTCGCTAGCCTCCAGGATTCTGGTACTACACCTGTTTTTAAGGACATGTTAAACAACTTTGCTAAGGGCATACTAAGCTCTTCCTTACATTCCTTCAATACTCTGGTAAATATCTCATCCGGACCAGGTGACTTATTAGGCTTTAGTTTGTCTATTTGCTTACTAACATCGTTACTAGTCACTACTATCTTGCTTAATTTGTTTTCTTCACTATCTCTGAATAAAGTCGGTGCCCCAGGTATCATGTTTAAATTTTCGGTGGTGAAAACTGTTGAAAAATATTTATTCAAATTATTACTCATTTCTCTGTCGTTATCAGTGAACTCACCGGTGTCTGACCGTATTGGTCCAATCTTTTCTCGTGTTTTAGTTTGATACATTTGGTAGAATCCTTTGGGGTTTGTCTTCGCCTCCCTTGCTATCCTTACCTCATTATTCCTCTTGGCTTTCCTTATCTCGGTTTTAACCTTACTCGCCAATACCCTATAATAATCCCGGAGGTGAATTTCGCCACGATATATCCTTCTACCTATAGCCTTTCTTTGGCCAATGATGTTCATTAAATAATTATTTCTCCATTTAGGGTCATTGTTGTCTGATCTGAGTTTTTTGTATGGTATGTTCTGCCTTTGTGCATTAAGTAACTCACTATTTAAATTGTCGTGGAACTCGACAATCTCAGATCTCGTTATCAGGTCGGTGTCATCTGTCAGGTTCATGGCCAAGCTGCCTCTTTAAACTGTCAAAGTTTGCCCTTCTGAAATCTGGTACTTTAGTGGAATTTTCCTTATGTGAGCCCTGAAAATCTAACTGGAATCTAATTTCTTTGTGATCGCTGTTTGCATGGGCACACAAACGTACGTACATGTAGATATCTCACACTCAGGAATGAGGTAGGATAGAAACTCACAATGCGCTTTCTGTATATATATTGTTGTACAGCGCAGTGCTTAGGAGTGAATAGGTGAGGAGAAACTTGCTCAAAGGTCCTGTAGGGCGAGGAGGTTTCTGAGGAAGCTAGGTGGTGAGGAGCTGTGAGAGATGTTGCTGGTCCGGTAGCCGAGTATAGAATGGTCTCCCTGAACATGAACATGAAATGCTAGTGACAGGGGGGAAGGAGGTTCAGGGGAAGGATACAGGGAGGATTGAAGTGAATTTTAGGAGGAGAGAATAGGTGCAGTGGCTAAACACCACTTACGTGAGGGAGTTGGAGGCAGCAGCAACTCGCCCGGACGTGGCTAGGAGGCGGCAGGACAGAGTCAGGTTAGCGTCAGGTTAGCGTCAGGTCAAGCGTCAGGTGCGTGTTGGGTTGGGCCATGGTTTCTCAGTGCTTGGTCAGCTTGATTGTGTGTATTGTTTTCTTGTGTAGAGGAGATGTCTTGGTCTTCTGTCTTGGTATTCTTCTTAGCTTGATGTTGATTTTCTTCTAACTCTCCTCCTCTTCTTGCTCTCTTGAAGTGTCCATTCATTCGTGTTTGGGTCTTGTTGTTCGTCTTCCTCGTGTCTTATGTCCTCATAGGTGTGGAAGAAGTCGGAGACGGTGAGGTTGACCACGTGGGCTTCAGCTCCACGGGCCTCGTGGCGTTCTTGATTCTGTGTGGCGGGTGTCTTTTCTTGAGTTTTCTTTTCTTGGTTTTTCTTTTCTGCTGGTTTTTTCTTTTCTTGGGAGCATACAGCAAGGAGGGCCTCTTTGTAGCTCAGTTTCTTGTCGAGTCGAGCCTTGGCTATCCTGCATTCCTCCTTCCATTTCGGGCAGGTCCGATCGGCGGAGGAATGTGGGCCGCCACAAGCAGCGCAATTTTTTACTGTGTTGGGGCAGACCGTGTAGCGGTGTCCGGGGCTGCCGCACAGGGAGCAGGTGTCCTCCTGCGCCTCACACTTGTTGACAGTGTGTCCGTAGTGCTGGCATTTGTAACAGCGTTTCGGTCTGCAGTAGGGCTTGACTGGCACAGTTACCCACGCCAGTTGAGCCTCCTTGGGTAAGGTTGTATGGTGTCCGATGAGGGCAGTGGTGTTGAACAGCTTCTTCACAACTTGGAGTTGCCCCTTGAGGGGCTACTGAGTTTGCACTAAGCCCAGGAGGTGAGCCTGGTAATTATAGGATTAATACAATATCTTTCCCCCATTGATTGCATATTAATAAACTTGTTTTTAGAGTACTTTAGGTGTATTCATTTCTCCCACAGTATTTTACCTTTATTTCCATCCAAATGACTTGATACCAAAATTACCATACTCACGTACCTAGACCCTCGACCATGCTACCAAAAGAATGACCATGCTACCAAAATAATGTCCATGCTACCAAAGAATAGGTGACGGAACTGAGTAAGAGTAAGAACTAAGAGAAGTAAGTAAGATGAGGGAGGTGTAGAAACAGAGAGGGAACCCGCCCCCTCACAGTGGTGGCAGGCCTAAAAACCGGCCCCCTCACACAGCGACCCACAAGAGCGTCAGGCGCCATCTTTGTCTCATTGTGTAGCCAGTGCACCACTGTTATTGTTGAAATTTCGTCTTTTGATGTGGAAATAGGTTGAAGAAGTTGCAAGTTCAGAAAACTGTGAGGGCAAACTTTTCAGAGTGAGAGTTGTGAAATCTTGGAACAACCTGCAGGAGAGTGTTGTGACGGCACCGAGTGTGAGCTCTATCAAGACCAGACTTGACAAGTACTGGAACTTTCCAACAGTGCGTAACAGAGACGTGACCGACCGCCCAAGCGGCTAACGAGCCGATCAGTGGCGAAGAGGATAAAAGTAAAAGTAAAGTAAAAGGTACTGTATAGCTGCTGCAGGAGTCTTAAGTACTGTATTCTTGGTTTTTATCAACCTCCCTATATAAAGATCAATAAAGAGTTCCTTGCACGGGTCACTACCGAATATTAACCCAATATCTACCTCAGTATATGTCAGTTAATTGGTGTAGAGCACAGTTCCCCAACCCTATGACCCGGGTCACAGTACTGTGACCCAAACCATCTACTATTATGACCCGACAGACTAATGTGACCAGGTGCTGTGACCTAGGAGCACCTGTGACCGACATTGTGACCCACAAAAATCAGTGAACAAGTCAATCTTGCTATATCCTGTGCAGTGGCGGATTTCCCAATAGGCACGCGAGGCACGTGCCTAGGGGCCTCCAACCTTTGGGGGGGGAGGGGGGCCCGACCACACACATAATGTGGTAGCATAGAAAAGGTCCCTGCTATGGATTGCAATTTGACGAGTCGACATATCTCACAAACAGGGCTCAGCTGATATGCTTCATTCGCTATGTTGATTGTGAGCACTCGCGAATGACAGAAGAGTTTCTTTTTTGTGAAGATTTTGGCGCAGAAACTACCGGTGAAGCAATTGCAAAAAGAGTTCTGGACTCTCTCACCCACAATGGGATTGCAATTGAAAAGTGTTCACATTTCACAACCAACGGGATAAGAAATGGTGCAGTGGCAAGATTGAAAGATTATGCACCGAACTGTAGAAGTTCTAACTGCGCCCTGCATCGCCAGAATTTGCATCAAAGCATCTACCAAGTGAGTCTGATTTGGATGCAGTAATGAAAAAGTGCGTCATTATCATCATTGATATCCAAAGCAAAGCTAAGAAATCTCGCATGTACCATGACTTCTGCGATGGGATGGGGGAGACTGAGAAGACCCTGCTGTTTCACAGCGAAGTGCAATGGCTATCAAGAGGAGTTGCATTGAAGAGAGTCTTTCAACTAAGGAAGGCATTTCATGGCTTCTTGCAAGAATGTGACTCACCGCATGCATTCTGTTTCATGCAAGAGGAGTGGGTTGATAAGCTTTCTTACTTGTGTGATATATTCACTGTATGTATATTATGTATGTTGTATGTATACCATGTATGTACTCTACTTATATACATTACTTCTCTAGTCAGTAGCGTGTGGCAATGCCCCTGTTTCATGTCACCACACGCTTAGATAAATGTGCCTGGCGACATTTGGAAGCTGCTAATGTACCACTTACTACATGTCGCCTGAGAGGTCAGAGAGAGGTCAGTTGACCCATATAGGAGTATAGGGACTACCTGCGCTTGTAAGCGCACCCTTGTATATTTCCGTTGAATAGAACCTACAGAACTCTACAGGTGTTTATGTTCGCTCCTGTAGTTAGAACTAAGTACCCCGAACATCTCCATTCACCAAGCTCAATGTGGTGAACCTCTCCCTTCAAGGGCCCGGTCAAGATGTGTTCACTTCCAATGACAAAATTGAGGCATTCAAATTGAAAATTTCAGGGTGGAATAAAAGAGTTGAGAGAAGGGACTTTTCAGACTTAGATGAGTTTGGGCAAGTGATTGCAGAGTCCAGGGATGAAGTCATTAACGACAAAATGATGACAGTTGTGTCCCAACATCTCACCGTTCTTCAGCAGAATTTTAACCACTATTTTCCTCCTGCAAATGGGGAAGAATAGGAAAAGAACAGTTGGATAAGAAAGCCGTTCCTTATCTCAAACTTGAACGACAGCAATCTGCCCACTCAAGAAAAAGAAACATTGATCTTTTTCAACAGCCGCAACCGCACCGACTTTTGGGTAGCAATGAGCCAGAAAGAAAGCATATGAGATGATTGCTGGTAAAGCACTCCAAGTTCTGGTGGCATTCCACAGCACTTTTTTTCTTTTCTTTTTTCCCTTTATCCTCTTCACCACTGATCGGCTCGTTAGCCGCTTGGGCGATCGGTCACGTCTCTGTTATGCACTGTTGGCAAGTACTGGGCATGCATCGGCTCCTGAATGTACCTGTACCTTCTCCAGTGTTGGTCAAGTCTGGTCTTGAAAGAGCTTCCACTCGGTGCCGTCACAACACTTTCTGGTAGATTGTTCCAAGAGTTCACAATTCTCACTTCGAAAAAGTTTGCCCTCACAGTTTTCTGGACCTGCGGCTTCTTCAATCTTGAGCTGTGACCCCTTGTGGGGCGAGCGTCCGCCAACTCCAAGTAAGGACACTCGACTGAGTAGTGCCCCTTGAGATGCTTATACACCTTAATTAGGTCGCCCCTTGCCCGACTGTAGTATAAGCTAGGCAAGTTAGGCGCTCTAATCTCTCAGGGTAGTTGAGGTGCCGAAGTGCAGGCACCAGTCTGGTGGCCCTCGTTTGAACATTTTCAACCAACTGACAGTCCCTAGCATATCTCGGGGACCAGACGGGGTGACAGTACTCCAGGTGGGGAAGCATTTCACCCTTGAAGATCGTTACGAGGGACCGACCGTCTAGATATCTGAAAGACCTTATATGACCCAATAATTTATTTACCTGATTCACCTTCTTCTCGCAATGGCCCGAAAACTTCAGCTCATTGTTAACATACACACCTAGGTCCTTCTCACATTCAGTCTCAAATAGTGCAATTTCTTCATCCCATTGGGACATATGACACGCCTCCTTACCGTTGGTACGCCCCAGGTGCATCTTCTTACACTTCATGACATTGAATCTCAGCAGCCATTTCTTCGACAATTCTTGGAGCTCACAGAGATCTTTCTGAAGCTCTTCACAGTCCGCATGGTTCTTGATTTCCCGAAATTACTTGGCGTCATCGGCAAACATTTGTATGGAGGAATGTACAACGTCAGGCATGTCATTTATGAAACAAACAAACAACAGCAGGCCCAATACACTGCCCTGTGGTACCGCTTGTGAGAGAAGGTTATCAGATCTGCTCACCATCAGGAGCAAAAAAAGGCAGAGGCTCGGAGAGACGATTTTGTCTGCGTGTAAGAGATTGGCAGCGACAAGAAATATCTCCCCACAATACAACTTGCTTGATGCAATTATCCAGCAACAAAAATCACAGTGAAAGTATCCAATACCATAATTATGTAGTTTGTGATGAGGCGTAGCTGCACAAATGAATTGTATGTGTAAGTGTTTATTATTTTGTACTTTGTACTGTAAGTGTAAATGTAATGATCAATTTTCTGGTCAGAGTCATGTGGGTGATATCACTGTTCAATACCAAGCAGGACAGCGGTTCATACACAAACAAATACATCATATTCATTATCAGTATATATATATATATATATATATATATATATATATATATATATATATATATATATATATATATATATATATATATATATATATATATATATATATAGGTCAGAGTCATGTGGGTGAGGAAGGAAGGCAGGGAGTGAGAAAGTGAGGCAATGAAGAAGGGAGGGCATGAGAGAGGGAGTGAAGAAGGGAGGGCACGAGAAAGGGAGGGAGTGAGGACGGAGGGGAGTGAAGAAGAGAGGGCAAAAGGAAGGGAGGGAGAGAATGAGTTCAGAGAGTGAGGATCTGACTAATAAACAAGTGAGTACGAAACAAAGAAAAATCGACTTCCGAAACTTTGAGATTCTTGGCCCCAGATGACATTTGGGGAAGAAGAGGAGGAGGGAGAGGAGGAGGAGGAGGAGGCATTACTGGGCCAAGACTAAGAGGGGAGTGAGGGAGGGACAGAGGGAGACCAGAGAGTGAGGAGCTGGAGCTGCCATAGTAACTAAGTAAGCCAGTTTTATACAAGCCGTGGTGGTGTGCACTAGGACTATTACCTCCACCTCCCCCCTCCCGCCTCACATTGCTACTTGGTGAACTCTTCTCAGGTGAGCCATCATCGTATTAACCGCTAACTGACGACAGATACTTGGCGTTGTCATTTGCTTGCATATTATAACGTAACTAAATTCTAAAGTGGGTGTTATCGCCGCCCTCGTACGCCGCGACAGCTGACTCCAATGTGGCCGCGCCTCGCCAGATGTGTATGTCGCTGTATTTTAAGCATTTCATGACCTTGTGATAATCACTGATTCTTACACCGTATTAAAATGGACAGCGGGCGCAGGTGTCAAAACGCGAGCGATACAATGATACAGAGTTAAGACGATACTGTGTTACAATGAGGATACAGTTTTATAGTAATACAATAATACAGTGGTGATACAGTGATACATAAGAACCTAAGAATGGAGGAAACTGCAGCGGGCCTATTGGCCCATACTGAGCTGTCCCATTTACACCAAACCCCTGTCGCTCATATGTCCATCCAACGTATGTTTGAAGCTATCATCATACAATGGTGATACCGAGATACAGATTCAAGGATACAGTGATGGAGTGATGATACAGCTTGTCAAGGCTTGGCATGAGTGAGCCAGTCAGATGGTTCAACAACTCATCTTGCCAACTAACTGACTGACTGATCGACTGATTCAGAGAGAGAGAGCGATGAGTTAACTCTTCCCTGTTAAGGTCACATGTTACCAATAGTTGTTAACACCATCAATACAAATTATGTGTCTAAGATAAAGATAAAAATCTATTTATATATACGAGTATTTTTGTATTCTGTCATCAAAACAAAGTGAACAGATAGGTATTGCCCCAACACAGATAAACACGTGACCAACTCAGCCTAGGTAGGACACGCCAGAGACACGGAAGGAGTGTGCACCTTACTGTAGCTTATGCCAACATTCTCCCCAGCCCAGCCCAGCCCGGCCCGGCGCCAGCATACGAGCACCTGGGAACACCTCGGCACTTCCTTCTTTTTTGATACACAAACCTGATTATAATTTATCATATTAAAGTTTTTTTCTTAACTAAATACACGAGCAACGGATCTGTCTCACTTAACTCATTGAATGCTGAGGGTGTTTCTCTCAGCTATACCTCATCTGTCTCACTTCCATTGAATAGTGCAGTCGATCTGTCTCAGTTAAGTAAACAAACCCAACTCCTCTTCCCCTCCCCCTCCCCCCCCTCCATTGTGTTTTGGGACATTTTTGGCTAATCAACAGTTTATCTCGTTTGGTATAACAAATCTGTACAGTTTTTGATGGAGGAGGTGGCGTGAGGGTATACCACACACACACACACACACACCTTGAGGATAGGGAGAATATCAGAACTGGATAACATTCAAAGGTCTTTCTGCCTTCAATATTGCTCTTGTACTGCAAAAACTTGAGCAGGAAAAGAACAGTAGCTGGACATCGACTGACCATCTAGTAAGCACATTCATCCACAACAAGTCAAGGAGCTGTGTACTGTACGTATTGGCCAACCTCACCAAACTCATCATAGCTACACCATCCTAAGATATCTTCTCGACTGTCTTAGTCATTCTACGATAGCCATGACAGTACAGTAATTATCGGATCATCTCTACGATACTCTTACGACACGAGAACTATTGTATTCCTGTATTTTTTTATATCTAAACGTGTAGCTTTACTGATGATTCTTAGTAAACTCTCTGATTCACTGATTCACTTTCTAATTCTGGTTGGGATCTCTTAATAACGCTTTATTAATGCCATGTCCCACCTCAGCCGCTCCCTACTGCTGCACCCTCACAGCTGACTTCACTTAGTCTATTTCTCTCCCTCTGTTTAACTATTTACGATAATAAAATGCCTTCAGCCTCTCTCTCTCTCTCTCTCTCTCTCTCTCTGGTATAAACAGGTAGAGAGGTATAATTAGTACCGTCTTCAACAGGTATAGACAGGTAGAGAGGTATAATTAGGGTCGACAAAACAGCTGTTCGTGTACGTCTTACATCGTGTTGACGTGTACAGACCTTGAGGTTATATCCGTCACCTGCCTACCGTGGTCAACCTCAACCACTACCATGACTTGCCAACTTATGGTATACCTTCCTAGCTATGGTCCATCACTTCTTCTACCATGATTGATCTGTTAATCTCTCTACCATCAGCTATCACTTATGGTACTTTTCTTCTTTCATGGTATACTAACGACCCTCTCTACTCTAGCTACCATAATTGGTTTTAAAACTCGCTACCATGATTTTTTTTACCATTATATGTCAACATCTCTTTTCTCTATACCATGAATTGTCACCTATGGTAATGTGTTTACCATGATAAGCTCTCCATAATGGTAAATCCCATAATATGTCTTCTACCATGCACGACCTACTACCATTTCTACCACATACGGTGAAACCTTTATTTAACGGACTATATAGAGATGAAAGTCCGTTTTATCGAGGGTCCATTAGCTGTGACCCCCACCCCCCCCCTCACACACACACCCCAAGGACACACCCCAAGGACGAAGAAAAAATAATTAGCGGAAAAAAATATGCGAGGAAGAAATTGTTTATCTGTGGCGGGCACGAAGCTTGGTAAAGGGGGCAAGAGGAGAGGTAGGGAGCAGTAGGAAAGGGCACGGGAGGGTAAGAAGGGAGGATAAGGGAGGGCAACAGGAGGGGAGAGGTAGGCAAAAGGGAGAGGTAAGGGACAGTAGGGAAGAGCAGGGGAGGGCAAAAGAGGGGGCAAGGGAGGATGGGTAAGGTGAAGGGTGAAGGGGAAAGGTGAAGGGGTGAAGGGAGAAGGTGGAGGGGGGAGGACAAGGGAAGAAGAGAGGTAATGACGGCTTGGAAGAGGGGGGGAGGGTGTTCCGGCTCGGTTTGTTCACATTTAATCAGCTGTTTTATGGTTAAGAATCACACACACACACACACAAGGAAGCTATCCAACCACAACCACCAATTTTGTACAAGTCTAATGGCTCGGTCACCTGACGTTTCTTACAGCCCAAAATAAACACTGGGCAGAAAATAATCTCTTTATGGGTGAATGTTTACAATGTTTACGTGTGATTATTTTTTTTAATGTTATCCCCGATGTTAAGCGGATGTTCAAGACTCATCCTATGTTCATCGTCCTTGTTCTGTCCGTATCCGTCTGTTCGTTGTTCTTGTTCTGTCCGTATCCGTCTGTTCATCGTCCTTGTGTTGTCCGTTTATTCACCGTCCTTGTTCTGTCCGTATCCGTCTGTTCGTTGTTCTTGTTCTGTCCGTATCCGTCTGTTCGTTGTTCTTGTTCTGTCCGTATCCGTCTGTTCGTCGTCCTTGTTCTGTCCGTGTCCGTCGTGTTTGTGACTTATCCTACGCGTTATTGCAAAAATTTATCGATTTTCTTGACAACTGGCAGGAACACTGACACCATCCTCCTCCTCCTCCTCCTCCCTCTTTTCCTCACCCTCCTCCACCACGCTCCTTCCTTCACCTCACCCTCCTCCCACCACCACGCTCCTTCCTTCCCTCACTCCTCCACCATGCTCCTTCCTTCCCTCACCATCCTCCCACCATGCTCCTTCCTTCCCTCACCCTCCTCCCACCATGCTCCTTCCTTCCTCACCCTCCTCCCATCACGCTCCTTCCTTCACCTCACCATCCTCCCACCACGCTCCTTCCCTCACCCTCCTCCCACCACGATCCTTCCTTCCTTCACCCTCCTCCCACCACGCTCCTTCCTTTCCTCACCCTCCTCCCACCACGCTCTTTCCTTCCCTCACCCTCCTCCCACCACGCTCCTTCCTTCCCTCACCCCCTCCACCCACACGATCCTTCCTTCCTTCACCCTCCTCCCACCACGCTCCTTCCTTCCCTCACCCTCCTCCCACCACGATCTTTCCTTCCCTCACCTCCTCCCACCACGCTCTTCTTCCTTCACCCCCTCCTCCACCACGCCCCTTCCTTCACCTCACCCTCCTCCCACCACGCTCCTTCCCACCTCCTCCCTTCCCACCCTCCTTCCTTCCTCCCTCCCTCCCACCACGCTCCTCTTCCTCACACCCCCCTCCACAGCTTCCCACCTCCTCCCACCCCGCTCCTTCCTTCCCCTCCTCCCACCACGCTCCTTCCTTCCCTTCACCCTCCTCCCACCACGCTCCTTCCTTCCCCTCACCCCTCCTCCCACCACGTTTCCTTCCTTCCCTCACCCTCCTCCCACCACACTCCTTCCTTCCTTCACCCTCCCCCACCATGCTCCTTCCTTCCCTCACCCTCCTCCCACCACACTCCTTCCATCCTTCACCCTCCTCCCACCACGCTCTTCCTTCCCCCACCCTCCTCCAACAACAGCTCCTTCCCCTCATTCTCCTCCCACCACATCTCCTTCCTTCCTTCACCCCTCCTCCCACCCACGCTCCTTCTTCCTCCCCTCACCACGCTCCTCCCTCTTCCTCTCACCCTCCCTCCACCCACGCTCTTCCTTCCCTCACCCTCCTCCCCACCACGCTCCTTCCTTCCTCCTCCTCCACCGCTCCTTTCCCTCCTCCTCCAACCATGCACCTCCTCCTCTCCCAGCTCTTCCTCACTTTCCCACATGCTCTCTTCCCTCACCCTCCTCCCACCCACGCTCTTTCCTTCCTCACCCCTCCTCCCACCACGCTTCCTTCCTTCCCTCCCTCCTCCCACCATGCTCCTTCCTTCCCTCACCCTCCTCCCCACCATGCTCCTTCCTTCCTCCACCCTCCTCCCACATCTCCTTCCTTCCCTCACCCTCCTCACATGCTTCCTTCCCTCACCCTCCTCCCCTCCCACCATGCTCCTTCCCCTCACCCTCCTCCCACCATGCTCCTTCCTTCCTCACCCTCCTCCCCACAAATCTCCTTCCTTCCCTCACCCTCCCCTCCCACCACGCTCCTTCCTTCCCTCACCCTCCCTCCCACCACGCTCCTTCCTTCCCTCACCCTCCTCCCCTTCCTTCCTTCCTTCCCCCTCCTCCTCCCACCACATCTCCTTCCTTCCCTCACCTCACTTCACCGCTCTTTTCCTTCCCTCACTCCTCCCACCATGCTCCTTCCTTCCCCTCACCCTCCTCCCACCATGCCTTCCCCTCCCCTCTCCCACCACGCTCCTTCCTTCCCTCACCCTCCTCCCACCCGCTCCTTCCTTCCTTCACCTCCTCCCGCTCCTTCCCTCCCTCCCACCACTCCAGCCCTCACTCTTCACCCTCCCCCTCACCCTCCTCCCCACCACGCTCCTTCCTTCTTTCACCCACCTCCTCCCACCACGCTCCTTCCTTCCTTCACCCTCCTCCCACCACGCTCCTTCTTACCTCACCCTCCTCCCCACCACGCTCCTTCCTTCCCTCACCCTCTCACCCACCACCTCACCCTCCACCGCTCCTCCTCTCCCACACTCCTCCCACCATGCTCCTTCCTTCCCCCACCCTCCTCCCACCACGCTCCTTCCCTTCCCTCACCCCCTCCCCACCATGCTCCTTCCTTCCCTACTCCCCCACTCTCTCTCTTTCACCCTACCCACTTCTCCTTCCCTCACCCTCCTCCCACCACGCTCCTTCCTTCCCTCACCTCCTCCCACCATGCTCCTTCCTTCCCTCACCCTCCTCCCACATGCTCCTTCCCTCACCCTCCTCCACCCGCCTCCTTCCTTCCCTCACCCTCCTCCCACCACTCCTTCCTCCCTACCTTCCCCTCCCACCACGCTCCTTCCTTCCTTTACCTCCTTCCCCAATGCCTCCTTCTTTCACCCTCCTCCCACCACGCTCCTTCCTTCCCTCACCCTCCTCCCACCACGCTCCTTCCTTCCCTCACCTTCCTCCCACCACTCCTTCTTTCCTCACCCTCCTCCCACCATGCTCCTTCCTTCCCTCACCCTCCTCCCACCACGCTCCTTCTTTCCCTCACCTTCCTCCCACCATGCTCCTTCCTTCATTCGCCCTCCTCTTAGACGGAAAGCATCACGATCAATCATTTAATGTAATAATAATAACAATAATAATAATTAACGGTTTATAGAAAGAGCGCCAGAAGGCTGAAAATATACAGATACATATTTGGGGAATAGTTTTGGACAATAATATACAAGTAACATAAGTGACACAAATGAGACATATAATAACTAGATGGGGAAAAGCTCAAACTACAGTTCATTTCAACATAGTGACGTGTAAGGACAATATTGGTGCCTGATTTATTACAAGTTATTGTTTTAATGGTTGGGACTGGGCTTTCTTATAGCGATCAGTTCGTGCGTGGGGCTGGATACGGTTGTAGGCAATCAGAACAGGAATTCGGAAAGGGATCTCAGGGTAGTAGGTGGTGTCGGGGATAATTGTAGAAGCTTCTTACAAATTTGCAGATGAGTCGTGGTGGGTGACAATGAGTCAAAAGAGTCAAGTGTGTTGAAGCGCTTCTTGATATGTGGGTAGGAAGGAGAGAATAATCTTGCATACCCTCTTTTGCACTGCGCTGGGGAGATGACCAGGTGGGGAGCCATAGAGCTTGGGAAGTATGAATGTTATTAAAACACTGAGGAGCTCGTTGCAGGAATCAGGGACTTGAGTCGGCGGAGGAGGTGGGAAACTGAGGATTTGATCCAGACTTTGCTGAATCATGCTCCTACGACACAATATTTTGTGACACTGAATCAGTGAAACTACTGAAAATCAACATGCACACACCACCATTTGCGCACACGCCATTCTTGGCATCTGCCTGCAGAGAGAGAGAGAGAGAGAGAGAGAGAGAGAGAGAGAGAAGAGAGAGAGAGAGAGAGAGAGAGAGAGAGAGAGAGAGAGAGAGAGAGAGAGAGAGAGAGAGAGAGAGAGAGAGAGAGAGAGAGAGAGAGAGAGAGAGAGAGAGAGAGAGAGAGACCAAAATGTTTTATTTTACTCTTTATTTTTAGACGCCAGATTTTAAAAGACTGAATTCTACAGTGCCACCAATACAAAGAAAATAAGCATAAAGTGAATCTCCATATAACGGACTAGTACAGTAGTCCGTTAAATGGAGTTCCATCTTAACTTGATATAACTGATTATCATTTATTATTATTATTATTATTATTATTATTATCATTTATTATTATTATTATTATTATTATTATTATTATTATTATCATTATTATTACTACTGTTTTTTTTAAACGTGGCCTCCAGCCTCCCCCAATAGCCACACCTTCGCCGCCATTTTATTACCTTAAAATTAACTATCCCAATACAAAAGGAACTACCCTGGCTGTGTTGAGTTAGTTGAGCCGCAGATCTATGCGGCATTCAGTGACTGTTGCCTCAAAGTCGATATCTGCGACTGTTGTCGGCTTTGGGGCCGAAGATCTCCTTCCCCTGAGCCAAAGCAATGTAGACCTAAGCAGAGAGAAGGACAGTCGACATCTCAACCAGGCAGTAACATAACTTCTGGGCTGCTGCTTCTGTTCGGAGAACACCTCCGCCAATCTTCATAGAAGCATCTTGCACTTGGTCCCATCCTACCAGAGGTTGTGAACACTAGAGGAGTGAAGCTACCTTGATCCCCAGTCTGAATTCTACTTCTACTATTACAACTACTTTTCACTAACACATATCTTTATCTTCACAGGTAAAAAAAAAATAATATTAATTCGACCACAATGACTCCGCCGCTCATAGTAGTGGTGCGGATGCTGGTAGCTACCACAACTACGACCATTTCGGCTGAGCTGGTAGAACTCTCCTACACCCTCGGAGTGGACGCCCCTACCTCCCCAAAGCTGATGTCCTTCACTCACAAAATTATTAAAAAAGGATTAAATAAACTGAATATTTGGTGAGTAGGATTTGATAGGATATTTTTTTTTCTTCCAAGGGATTTATTATGAGATTTTCTTGTCGTGTATTTATAATGAACTGGATTTTTCTGTTCCAAGATTATGATGTGGTGGATTTTTCTAATTCGATTTATGGAGAAGGGGATGTTTTTCGTTACTTGAATGAAGGTGTGGATGATTTTTCTCTCAGTGGACAATAACATCAACCAGGTAATGTAGACAAGATTGGGCAGCGCTTCAGAGCTAAACTACACTCACGTCCACGTCACCTGTCTTGGCAAGGTGCTCCGTTATCTGTACACTTCCTCTGTCTCATCTTATGACTAGTAGTTGTGCTCGCTTTACCTGTCTCTCTGCTAGGAGATAATATCTTGAGTAAAAGTTCAGATGGTGGTGATAAAGTAACAAGGATTCTGAGACCTTACTTGTCACTGCAGGACAACATGGCGACAGCAGTGAACAGAATGTAAATAAAATCATGTAAACCGTCCAGTTAAGAAACTAAAGACAAAAAATAAATAAATAAAAAAGTACCGCATAATTCACTCTTTGTCTCGGTCTGGTTCAGGGTGGAACTGAACGACTTCTGCAGCTCAGAGCACTCAGGGACCCACGTCGATGCCCCCATCCACAATAACCAACACGGCTGGTCCATTGAGGAGATCCCCACCAGCAGACTGTGGAGGGTGCCAGGTAAGGCCGCTGTATTGTTAGTGGAAAAAGTTTGTTGTTATATATCTAGTGGAGAGGATGTAAAGGGGTTAACAGGCTGACCCTGACGTGTGTGTAAAGACGCTTGTTACAGCGCTGTATTGTTAGTGGAAAAAGTTTGGTATGATATAGAGGATGTAACATGTTAAAGGGGTTAAGTAAAGGCTTGACCTGACTGTGTAAAGAGGGGGGGTTACAGCTGTGTGTGTGAGGGGGGGGCTTGTTACAGCTGTGTTTGGGGGCTTGCTGGAATGACAGAAGGTTTGTCTAAGGTTCGTTAGACCTGTAATGACTGTAAGTCTGTCTGTGCTTGTAACAGCTGTAGTGGTGGATGTTTCGGGCCCGATCAGCCAGTCGAAGATCAAGAACTACGAGGTGAAGGTGGATGACCTGACGCGGTGGGAGGAGATTCACGGGGTCATCCCAGACGGGGCACTGGTCCTCATCCGCACTGGCTGGAGCAACAAGATCAAGCAGAACATTAGGGAGTATGCGGGCCTTGACCAGCACAACAAGATAAACTTCCCAGGTAAGAATATAGACAATAGACATAAAGAGACTCAATGCTTTATTATACTGTCACCCTTGACAACTATTAACTGTATTTGTACTCAAAACCCAAATCTATACTTGTACTGATATATCTGAATCCAATTGTGTAATTCTGATGATGACTTAACTATCGCAGGGGTGGGCAAAGGCGCTGCTGAGTGGCTAGTTAAGCACGGCAGCCGCAATGGGCACACGAAAGGCATCGTGGGCGTGGGTATTGATACTCTCTCCCTGGACAAAGGTCAATCAGTGCGCTATCCAACCCATGTCGCGCTCTTTAAGGAAAACATCTACGGTGTTGAGAACCTGGCCAACCTGGACAAGGTGAGTTGCTACCATACTACCAGCCAGCGCACTCTGGCGCCGCTTACTCTGCTCTTTTTTCACTGAACAACTTAAAGAAGTTAATGATATGACAGGAAAGTATTTTCTTATATCATGGGTTCCATTCGAGGATCTCTGGTCCAGTGTTGCTCTTGTAGTATTGACTCTTGAACTCGGAGACGCTGGTGTAGCAGCTTTCCTAAATACAAAGCTTGTGGACTTGAGGGGAACACCAGGTCTGTCAGTGTTGATGCTGTATTTCTCTCCCGCAGCTGCCAGCGACGGGCTTCTATGTGACGGTGATGCCCTTGAGGATTGGCAGAGGCAGCGGTTCCCCCGCCAGGATAATCGCTGAGGTGGGTGAGTTACCTCCAGGGACCTCTACAGCCTCCTCTCCGGTCTCCTCCATTTTGATTCTGCTACTGGTGGCAACTCTGACTCTGGATTGGCTCTTATAGGCCCCTGCTTCTAATATGAATACTTTACCAGCATCGCGAGAGCCATCGGGAGCACCTGTTGGTTCACCATCTGCCTTCATTGCTTCCACCTCCTACATTCTTCCGATGGCGACGTTGACGACGAGCCCTCTCCCAGGATCAAACTATCAACACATTATGACAGTACAAGACATCAACAGTGTAATTCAGTGTAATTGACGTAATTCACAATATAATTATACTAAAACAAGGAAAGTGTAATCTATCAAATAGTATATATTTTTTTTTTTTTTTTTAAAGATTTCAGATAACAACAACAACAACAGCAACAACGGCGAGTAAAACCATCTTGAAAGCCAATGTACACTCGCAACAAAAAGTATCGGTGCATACTGTAGTGTGAACAATTTGAGACCAGTGACGATAGGTATTGCGAAAGGCGAGTTGTTCCAGCCGTATGTTGGCAGCCCTGTAATCCAGTTGAGCAGCTACTATGGCCTGGTCAAGTGAAACAAACCGTTATAAATAAGGTCGGTATGAAATATGAGGAGCTCCCTGTTAACAAAATTATTTGTGATACTTGGGAATATTGCCACATTAATTTATGCTACCAAATAAACCACTCAACCTGGTCGTCCTGAGGGGTGGTGCAGTGTGGATGGCAGCTCCCAGACCCGTCGTCTTTTGCACCAGTTTCGAGGTATCGCCGAATCCATCGTGCAGAGGTGTTCCTGTGGACACCAACCCGCTGGCTAATATCTGTGACGCCAAACCCTTCGCTATGAAGGGCAAGAATAGCTCCTCGTGTTCCCTCTGAGGTTTCCATGTCGTCTGGCATGTTTAGATCTCTACTGCTTCATATTGCCTCTGTTTTATACCCACGTTCACCGAGACCGAACCCTCACTCATCATTCAGTCGACACAAAGCAACAATCCGAAAAGAGGAAACAAACACACTGATTGTCAGCCATATGGCAACACCTAGTGGAGGGGAGGGGGGGGGGCTATGAGGATACACTTACCAACCTTCCCGACATAACACAGTGTATACGTATGGTTTCGGAAGTCGTCGATCTCACCCTGCACCGATACTTTTTGGTGCGAGTGTACACAGTGTTATTTCATTGTTTTATTTAGATTTGGAAAGATAACATTAATAAAATTATTTAATAAATTTTTTTCTATTTTATTAAGACTTGAGAGAGAATCTATAATTAGCCTCCATAGTGAAATGTAAAGTGCTGTCTTCTTAATAAGACTTGAGTTAATAATCCCTCATTAGGTTCTTCATTTTTTCGTATTATTTCAGCGAGTAACTTGTACTACTAACTATAATTCTGTGTGTGTTTTTGTAACTTAATTAAACGTCTATAATTATATTTCTTTATCTAAGTTAAAGCTTTCAGAAGATAATTATTAATAAACCTCAATAAGGATATATTATTATACATTATACTGTTTAGTGTCTGTCTGTTCTATAAAGTCTGAAGCATCATTGGACCGCAATAAAGATATATTATGAGCTTAGTTTTTATAAAAGACTTTAGAAAATATAAAACCATATAGGCTGTGTAAAGAGAGATATAGGTCCTTTGTATTGCTTATTATGCTGTAATACTTCAACAAGACTTTCTGATGATAATTAAGTCAAGGAAAGGTTGTGAAATAATGTAAATGGCTTGATTAATGAAAGAATACTAGAGTTTCCTTAACATCCCGAGAAAGTCATAAGTGGGTTTGTCAAAACCTCGTATATATAGAATATGGTACGAGGGTACAGCAGCAGCCGCAGCAGCAGGGTACAGCAGCAGGAGGGTACATAAGTAGCAGGAGGGTACAGCAGCAGCAGCAGGGTACAGCAGCAGGTGGGTAAATAAGTAGCAGGAGGGTACAGTAGCAGAAGGGTAAATCAAAACCAGGAGGGTACAGCAGTAGCAGGAGGGTAAATCAATAGCAGGAAGGTACATCATTAGCAAGAGGGAACGTACGTAAAACATAAGAAAAAAACATAAGAATGGAGGAAACTGCAGCGGGCCAATTGGCCCATACTGGGCAGTCCCATTTACACCCAACCCCTATTGCTCATATAAGCATCCAACCTATGTTTGAAGCTATCCAGTGTATTCCAGTTAATGATGATATTTGGTAACTTGTTCCAATCATCCACTACTCTGTTTCCAAACCAGTGTTTACCAATTTCGCGCCTAAATCTAAATTTGTCTAATTTAAAACCATTGTTACGAGTTTGCTCTTGGATGGATAGTTTGAGTACCTTGGTAATGTCCCCTTTGTTTAGCCCTGACTTCCATTTATACACCTCTATCATGTCGCCCCTCGCTCTACGTCTCTCGAGGGAGTGCAAATTAAGATGTTTTAACCTGTCTCTATACTCAAGGTTCTTAATGCCCGGGATTAGTCTTGTCAGTCTCCTCTGGATTCTCTCCAAGGATTCTATATCCATTCTGTAATACGGTGACCAGAACTGCAATGCGTAATCCAGGTGAGGTCTCACAAGCGCAAGATATAATCTTAAGATGTCCTCGCTAATCTTGTAACTGACACTCCTTTGTATGAACCCAAGTACTTTATTAGCCTTGTTACGTGCAAGAACACATTGTTTACTTGGCTTAAGATTCCTACTTATCATTACTCCTAAATCTCTCTCGCAGTCGGATTTCTCGATAGCATCGTTGTTCATCGGGTAACTGGTTTCCCTGTTTACGTCTCCTAAATTGAGTACTTTACATTTGTTCACATTGAATTTCATCTCCCATTTTTCAGAGCATTCAAAAATTTTTTTTAGATCTTCCTGTAATTTGTGGAGTCCCTGTCAGCAAATTTACTTATGTTGCTGTCTATGCCGATATCTATGTCGTTTATGTATATAATAAATAATAATGGTCCAAGTACTGAGCCTTGGGGAACTCCACTAGTGACGTTGCTCCAATGGGATTTAGTGCCGTTAATGCTCACTCGCTGTTTCCCGTCCTGTAACCACGCCCTAATCCATTTTAGAATATTACCTCTAATGCCATGTGCTTCTACCTTTCTTATTAGTCTTCGTGGGGGACTCTGTCGAAGGCTTTGCTAAAGTCGAGATATACCACATCATAATTGTGCCCCTCGTCCACCGATTCGAAAACTGGTGAAAAGAATGTTTATAGAATAGTTAGACATGAACGCCCGCTTATGAAGCCATGCTGAGAATCATTGATCAATTTGTGCTTCTCCAGGTAGTTTCGAATAGAGTTTGAAATGATTGCTTCCAGTAATTTGCCTACAATTGATGTTAGACTGATTGGACGGTAGTTAGGGGATAGTGATCTATCCCCCTTCTTGAAAATCGGTTTTACATTTGCTATACTCCAGGATTCTGGTACTACACCTGTTTTTAAGGACATGTTAAACAAATTTGCTAAGGGCATACTAAGCTCTTCCTTACATTCTTTTAATACTCTGGCAAATATCTCATCGGGACCAGGTGACTTATTAGGCTTTAGTTTGTCTATTTGCTTACTAACATCGTTACTAGTCACTACTATCTCGCTTAGTTTGTTTTCTTCACTATCTTTGAATAGAGTCGGTGCCTCGGGTATCATGTTTAAATTTTCAGTGGTGAAAACTGTTGAAAAATATTTATTCAGATTATTGCTCATTTCTCCGTCGTTATCAGTTAGTTCGCCGGTATCTGACTGTATTGGCCCAATCTTTTCTCGTGTTTTAGTTTGATACATTTGATAGAATCCCTTGAGGTTTGTCTTCGCCTCCTTTGCTATCCTCAGCTCATTATTCCTCTTTGCTTTCCTTATCTCGGTCTTAACCCTACCGGCCAAAACCTTTTAATAATTCCGGAGGTAAATTTCGCAACGATTTATCCTCCTACCTATGGCTTTCCTTTGACCAATAATGTTTTTTAAATAATTATTTGTCCATTTAGGGTCATTATTGTTTGATCTAAGTTTTTTGTATGGTATGTTCTGCCTTTGTGCATTAAGTAACTCATTATTTAAATTGTCGTGAAACTCGGCAACCTCAGATCTCGTTATCAGGTCGGTTTCAATCGTCAGGTCCAAGTGGTTCACCCCCAAGGGTGATACCCCTTTTCTCAACTGCCTCTTCAAACTATCAAAGTTTGCCCTTCTGAAATCTGGGACTTTTGTGGAATTTTCCTTACGTCTGCCCTGAAAATCTAACTGGAATCTAATTTCTTTGTGATCGCTGTTTCCAAGTTTGTTCCCTACTTCGACATGACTAATGAGGTTTTCTCTGTTCGACAGAACTAAATCGAGTATATTATTACCCCAGGTGGGTTCGGTTATATGTTGACTTGGGAAACAGTCCTGGATTGTTTCAAGAAAATCCTCTGATTCTGAGTTACCCGTAAGGTCAAACCAATCTATCTGGCCAAAGTTAAAGTCACCTACTATACAGACTTTGTTGTGTATGGAAACCCTGCGCATTTCATCCCACATATGTCGCTCATTAACTCTATCAAGATTGGGAGGTCTATATATTACTACTGTGATTAATTTTTCCCTACCGTCGATTAATTCTATCCAAATTGTCTCTGTATTCCGCTCAGTTTTATATCCTTATTTATTTCACTTCAGATTATCCCTGACATAGATTGCTACTCCGCCTCCTTTCCTAATCTGCCTATCCGTATGGATTAATTTGTAACCTGCAATTTGGTATTCGACAGGTAACTCACGTGAGTCTAGGTTGATCCATGTTTCAGTGAATGCTATTATATCGATTTTTTCGGTACATACCAAGGCCCTAATATCATCCATTTTGTTCCTCATACTTCTACTGTTCGCGTAGTAGACATTTAAGTTAGTCGTGTTCTGAGTCCTCCCTTTGCCGCGTTTAGGTTTTAACTCGCTGTCTAAATTAGTTTTGTCTTCATTCCTAACACTATTTCCCTGTAACCTTTCACTATGTTTACCCACTCCCACTGCAGTCTCCTCCACCTTCGTGCTCACATGTTCCCCTAGCAGTTTAAAGACTTCGACATCTTTTGGACTGCCCTTTCGAGAGTCCCAGCCAGGATAGCCACTCCATCCCTAGACAGATGCACCCCATCCCTAGCATAAAGGTCCCTTCTGCCGTAGAAAATGTCCCAGTTGTCAATGAATAGGACTGATATTGACTTGCAATATCTGTCAAGACGGCCGTTGACACCAACTGCCCTTGACAACCATTCATTGCCAACTCTCCTTCTAGGGTGGACACCACATATGATCGGGATCCCTCCCCTAGACCTAACACGTTCTCTAGCTGTCTTGAACTTATCAAAAAGCTCCTC